TCCAGACAATTGGAGTGCAGTGAGGATGCAGGATCAGTTGTGTTTCTTCCAAGATGTATTTTCTTTACATGCTCAGTGCCTCTTCTCCTCACCTGTTATCCATAACTCTGGCTTCCACAAGACCTTCTGTAACATCATACACTCTATCTTGAGTCATGTAAAAGTTTTTTGCACATACTAGTCTATGGTGTATCCTCTCTATCTCTGTTTCTCCATCTTAATTCTCTGAGTTAATTAACTGCAGCTGTAAACATCTCAAGTGACTTTTATTTTCCTGCTTAGACTATGACAGATATAGTGGTTTAACCAACAACAAAGAAAAAACATTCATGCTTTTGTCAGCAGGAAAAACAGTGTAGTTGGCAGAGTTACCTTTCTCCAGCAGAATTCTTTTTTTTTTTTAAAGATTTGTTTATTTTATTGGAAAGGCAGATATACAGAGAGAAGGAGAGACAGAGAGGAGGATCTTCTGTCTGATGGTTTACTCTCAAAGTGGCCACAACAGCTGGAGTTGAGTCAATCCAAAGCCAGGAGCTTGTCCGGGTCTCCCACGTGGGTGAAGGATCTCAAAGCCTTGGGCCCTCCTTGACTGCTTTCCTAGGCCACAAGCAGGGAGCTGGATGGGAGGCAGGGCTGCTGGGATTAGAACCAGCACCTATATGGGATCCTGGTGCATTCAAGGCAAGGACCTTAACCACTATGTTATTGCGCCGGGTCCTCCAGCAGGATTGTGACACAATATCATTTGCTGCGGAAGCTTCACAATTATCAACGACTTGCATTTCTCTCCACTTAGCAGTAGATTGGGAAACAGAAAGGATGGGGGGATAGGCACAGTGTTTGCTTGAGTCAAGGTTGCAACTGATTTGGTATCATTTCTGTTCATAATCAGTTGGTCCAAACACAATGAAACCTCATGGATGGCCACACATATGTAACTCTAAGGAGGTTGGAAAATATAATCCAGCAATAAGCCTGGATTGTAGACAGTATTGAATATTGACAGCTTCTTCTGCAGTGCTTCTAGTCATGCTTCTGTATCCTACAACTTAATAAAGAGTGATCAATACCATAAAAAAAATAAAGCTTCTATTATCAATAGGTCACCCAGGGAATGCCACCAGATACCTGATACAGAAAACTAGACAAAGCCATGGGAGATGGGAGAAGACTGCTCTAACTGGAGTGCCTTAAAAGCCAAGACTTGAAGGCAGGAATAAGTTTTGTGTGTTCAAGAACAAGTAAGAAACTAATGTGGTTGGCATTTATATAACATTAACTTTATAAGAAAAAGTTCTCTATGAAATCTGACCTCAGTATTTCAGACTATTTTTGGAATAGAAGATTTTTATTTACATTATGGACAATCTTTTAACTTCCAGAGTCAAAATTATGTCACAGGGTGTATTCAGCAGTTGCCTTAATTCCATTTTATGTAAACAGGTAGTTAGCTACTGAATAAGTATAAGCTGAGGATTGCCTGCAGGCCTGAGCACACCCAGTGTATTCATTCCCTATGTACTTGGATCTCACTTTGCATCAGGCAAAAGAAGCCATAACAATTTCCCAGTAGATCACCACATGAAGGCTTCAGCCTCATGGAAAACAGACATAAACAGACATATTTTGTTACGTAAAAGTATGTTGGGGCTGCCATTATAGCTCAATTAGCTAATCCTCCCCTTGCAAGTGCCAGCATCCCATAGGGCACTGGTTCATGTCCAAGCTGCACTACTTCCCATCCACCTCCCTATTTGTGTCCTGGGAAAGCAGTCAAGGGCAGTGCAAAACCTTGGGACTCTGCAGTTGTGTAAGAAACCCATAAGAAGTTGCTGGCTCCTGGCTTCAGATTGGTTCATCTTTGATCATTGCAGCCATTTGTCTCTCTGTAAAATGTACCTTTCCAATAAAACTAATAAATCTTTAAAGAAAAATTCAGTATGTTAAACAATTAACCAGTAGATAAATTATTTGAATCATTAGGATTTGGAACTCCTTGCTGTACTTTTTGTCACTGATAATTACTCTGTTGTGTGCTTGCAGCAAAGTCTATTCAAGAAGGCCACAGTTGGGTCTGCTGGGAGTTATTGTGGATCAGTCCTTCTAGGCTGCAGCTCCCACTGGTTTATGTGGGGGCTGAGTATGTGCTGGGCAGAAACCTGCTGAACTGCAACACCCAGTGGTTCCAGTGGAAGACAGGGCTAGAAACAGAACCGACCCAGCAATTGCAACCACCAGCTGATTGGGGCAATGAACTTACTGGGCCTTGTACTTGCAAGTACACACAAGAATCTGATCTGGAATCACCTCAGACAGAGTTTCTTTGGGGATCTCCCCAACTGAACTGCTGCACTCAGAACCCTAACCATGAAGAGAAGTGCAGGTTCCATGGTCTGCCATGGAGAGCAAGTGCCAGAGCCGAGCCACCTAAGAGGCTCAGACGGAGCAGTGGAGAGCATAACCAGCTGTGCATGGAGGATATGCCAGTCTATCAGAACCTGCAGAGGATACCTGGCACCACAACAGAGGACAGAACAAATTGATCAACTACCCCAGCCATGTGTTGGCAATGAAAAACTGGGTAAACAGAGACTCTAAGGTGGAATATGTAAATCAGTGGTTTCTGCAGCTATCTCATTGTGCTTGGAATGGCGAGATAGGCAGCAATTCAGAACTATTGAACTATCAAAACCACTTGAGTAAGATCCTCGGAGCAGGCCCAACATCAGGGACCTGGGATGGGTGCAAGACTGGGTGGGACTTCTCCATTTATCTTCCACTTTACCCCACATACAGAAAAAAAAAAATGTGGAAATAATAGTCTTACTCACTTTCTTGTAGCCCTTGAACCTTTGTGCCCTAATTAACTATGTAAAGATTGTCAAAAATAAAGAAAAAAAGAGAGAATAAAAAGAAGGCCACAGTCAAGTTGACCTATAAATCAAACCATACCAAAGATCTTATTTATAAAAAATTAAGCTTGAACAATAATGATTTCCAATTCATGGATGATAGAAGTATCTTCTAGTAGATATTCACATGCTAGCAATGGAGTAGGCAATATATGGAATGAGAAGAGTACACTACCCACTATCCAAGGGACATTTAGGATTGAATTCTCGCTGTAGTATTCGATGCATATGTGAGCCAGTAAGCTATATTGATTTGTGACTTCCTTATCTTCAAAAATAAATAAACAACTAATATAAATAAATAAATAGATAAAGAAATAAATAAGTATGCCTTGCTCATTAAACTTATGAGTTAAATAGGAAAATCTGTGTATAAGACTTAATGAGCACTTGATTAAGATATCAATAAAAACTAACATTTTAATCATTTTCATTGTGGAAAATCATCTAACCAATTCTAATATTTGGAGAAAAATGCTTAGAGCACTGTCGTTGTGGATACAGGATCAGAATATTACTAGATGTTAAGCTGACATTTAGAAACAGAAAAAATTTTCTAAGCTACAGAGCTAGTAATATTCACATGTGGAGAACAGCTGGATCTCAAAATGAGGTCTTGTGCCTGCTGGCCCTGTGCTCTTCAGAATAGAAGCCTCAGCAACAAGGACAGACTGCTTTTATTGCACTGAGAAAACAAATGGTTCTTAAATGTGTACATAGCTAACAATCTCTGAATGAAAATAGCCTGACCCATTGCTTTGATGCCAACTTCATCAGACAGAGGACCTGATAAACAACATGTCATTATTTAGGGAGAGGTAGAAAGAAAAAGCAGAGAACAATTAGTGAGACCGTGTGATGAAGGAAAATAGAAAGCAAATGATCTCTCCTGTCTGCTACAACAGATTCTATCATTTTCCTCTGAGTTTGTGAACTGCATTTTGAACAGAATTCTAATCACTTCTTTTAAACATTCCATTTAATTTTGTTATGTTCAAATACTTTAATTAAATGTTTACTAGTAAACAGATGTCAGATGTTCAGAGATCTCACTTAATGTAATTAAAATATACATACTGGATGCTCAGCTAAACGTGCCTTGGCTTTCACAATTCTTTAGGAAATCATCAAAATCCACATTTAGCATTCTAGCACAGCTTTGTAAAAGAGTCTCCTGGTTGTACAAAATCATTTCATTCCTAACGAGTCCCTTAGAGAAAAAAAATAATTATAAAAAAAATATTAGAAAAAAATATATAATAAGGGTCTGAAAATGTTGATTGTGTCTGTTTCTCTATTCTTTTTTTTTTTTTTTTACACTTAGCTATGTGCCCTGGCATTTCCTGTTTAGTTTCACTAAGACTGCCAATAAGTAGTCCTTCATTTATCACCCCAGCATCTCTTGCATTATTGGAGAGCTAAGTATTTGCAAATGCTAACCTCTTTAGTATATGAGAACAGGATATTATTGTTAAACAAGGACATTACAATAAAAAATATGAATCACATTTATCCTGGCTGTTTTTCTACTTCTCCCATTTAATCATTCAAGTAATGCAGAAAAATATTCTTTATGTTCAAAAAAGAAAATCTGATACAATCTTCAACAATAGGGAAAAGCGAGTGTCCTCACAACTTCCTTCCTTTCTTTAAACCTCCATAACCTTTATTATAATTGTTTTGATGCTTATTTCCATAAAAAGACATTGTCCTTTACATCTATAAATATAAAGCAATCACAAGAATGCACAGTTAGGCTTACATGTCTTTGCTGCTAATTTCTTTTAATAGAGAAACAGAATCCAGCAAGGTACATTGCTCTGTGACATGGTGTTCTCTTTTCCCAATGTGACCTAAGGATCTTTCCATTCAGTGGACATTGAAAGGAATTTGCGTCATAATTCATGAGCTGGTGAACTTAAGTTCTTCCTGCTTTTTTTTTTCTTTCCTTCAGGTACTCAGATTTCAGATTTATACATATAATCACTGGAAAAAAACCTATTTTTAAAAAAAGATTATAAGACACATGTCAAGGTTTTTAAATTCTGGTTTGGCTTTCCTATAGATACATACAGGAAAGAAAATCAAAAAAGTTTGAATTATTTCCCTACTAATATTAAATGGCATCAGTGCATAGGGGCCTTGCTAATTTTCTCTGTATCATTCCACATTTAGTGCATGCGCTGCCAAAATGAACACCCTAGTAATTATAGTACAAATTTTGCCATAAATCAATTTTTCATCTTTGCATAAGTGTGATATTCTTTTCTTAGTAGTAGGAGGCTTATGACGTTATATGTTTAAAAGATTTACTTGAAAGAGATATAGCTGCAATGGTTAAGGGTGGGCCCAGCTGAAATCAGGAGCTTCTTTTGGCTCTCCCACATGGGTGACAAGAGTCCAGGCATTTGTGCTAACTTCTACTGGTTTTCTGAGGCCAATTCAGCAGGGAGCTGGATTGGAAGGGGAGAAGTTGGGATAGGATAGCAGCCTGCTCCCATGCGGGGTGCCAGCATCATGAGCAATGGCTTTACTTGCTACACCATACATCAGCCTGCGCAATAATACATTTTTATCTTGGAGTATGTTCATCTATGCTCATAATTTTCTTCTTAAAGACTGATATTAGTTATTCTTGCTAATTTGCATTGCTATATAATTTTAATAAGTGTACTTCAATTTTTGTGAAATAGTTTAAAGGTTAATTGAACCTGTATTGAATCAATGTGGATAAACTGTTTCATTTCTGTCAATTTAAATATGACATATTTGATATAATTTCCCATCCATTTATTTAGAACTTCTGCATATTTAAATCATGCTTTATAGATTTCTGTGTAAGGGATTTGCATACATGGCTTTAATTACTGCATGTTAATAATTTGTATGTTAATTACAATGAGATTTAATTTTCATTTCAAAATATAATTCTGATATTTAGAATATTTTACATTGCTCTTGTAAGCAATACTGTTTATAAAATACTTTGTCATTTCTATTGTATCTGTAGAATGTTTTCTAACTGTTGTAAATCTGTTTTTACCCTTTTTTATTTGAAAGGCACAGTTACAGAGAGGAGAGAGAGAAAGAGAGAATGAAAGAGAGTGAGACAGAGAGCGAGAGAGAGCGAGAGAGATCTTCCACTTCTGTTTCACAATCCCCAAATGGCTGCAATTATCACCTAGAATAGAGGCATTCTGAAGCCAGGATCCAGAAGTTTCTTTCAGGTATCCCACTCTGGTGCAGGAACTCAAGTACTCGAGCCATTCTCTGCTGCTTTCCCAGATCATAAGCAGGGAGCTGGAATGGAAGTGCAGCAACTAGGAGATTAATGATGCCCATATGGGATACTGTTGCCATAGGCAGGAGCTCATCCTACTATGCCAGGAAGCTGGTCCCCTGTTTTAAGTACAGAATCAGGACTACAAGTAAAAGATTTATGACTCACTTACCTGCATTATGACACTTGTTTAGATATGTAGTACTATGTTGCATGTAAATGTTTATAATAAGTATTTCCTTTCTCCATTCTGATTTTAAGGTATAATGCTTCAGTACCTATTAAGTTAGATTTTGCTGAAAGTTATGCATCATATAGAAAGCATTCTCAGTCTTCACTTTTTAATGTTCTCAATCATAAATATATTGCTAATTTGTTTACTCCCTCTTGTGCAAATTTTAAAGCAATTATCATTTATGGGAACAGTGTGGTAGCATAGTAAGCCAATCACCTATTGGTAGAACCAGCGTCCCACTTAGGCACCAGTTTCTGTTCTGGCTACCCCACTTTCAAACAAGATCCCTCCTAATAACTGTGGGAAAGCAGCAGAAGATGGCTCCAAATCTGGGCCCCTTTACCCATGTTAGAAACCCTGAAGAAGCTCCTGGCTCTGGACTATGTTTTGGCTCAGCTTCCCCCATTGTGGTCATTGGGGAGTAACGCAGTAGATAGAAGATCGCATTCTTCCTGTTACTGCAATTCTGACTTTCAAATAAAAATAAATAAGTTTAAAGTGAAATAAAATTATATTATTTTACCATGGTGCTATTCACATATTATGGTCACTAGTAATGACTTCCAAATACTTCACTAACCTCACATCCTTAGGATAAATACAACTTTATCAGGCAATAACATCCCATATTTTAAAAAAAAACATCTATTTGGGAATAATGTTGCACTGCAGTAGGTACACCCAATCCATTTTTTTGCTAATTAGCACAGAAGAAACTGCAAGATAGTTCAAGAACTTGAGCCCCTGCCACCTTGTGGGAGATTAGAATGGATTTTCTGATTTCTTACTCTATCCTGGTTCAAGTTTGGCTGTTTGGACATATGAGAAGTTACCCAGAGTATGGCAGATCTCCATATTTCTTTCATCTCTCCATCTCTCCCTCTTGTCTCCTCATTTTGTAATTCTTACATTTTAAATTTATTTTTACAGGAATAAATCTTTAAAACATCCTGGCAGGTTATGCCTGTCTCATTTTGATTGAACTTTCTAGGATATAGTTGAGTTAATTTTATCAATTTATAAAATAACTGATTAATATGCATTTTATGAAATCTATTAGTTATTTTTCTAATTTCTTCATCCAGTTTCATTTTGATATTCATTTTTTTTAAATAGCTGCTATAGAATGTAACACTTTGGCACAGCTGGTTTAGCTACTGCTTGGATCTCACATCATATATCAAGGTGCTCGATGCAATTCCTGGCTGCATCACTTCCAATCCAGTTTCCTTCTACTGTCCCTGATATACAGCAGATGATAGCACAGATATTTAGGTCCCTAGCATCTACATAGAAAAACCACATGAGATTCTTAGTCCCTAACTTCTGAGTGTTCTACCTCGTGTTGTTCTAGATGTTTGGAAAGTAAACCAGAACGTTAAAGATCTGTCCATCCCACCCTTTCTTTCCACCACTCTGCTTTTTGAATTAATATAATACATTTTTTAGCAATACAATTGTAAGAAAATTTAGCTAATTTGTAGAATGTTTCATAATCTAAGGACTCATTTGATGTTGTCCCATTATTAGACTGAAATTATGCAAATTGGAAAATACAAAAAGCATGTATTCTCATGATGTCATATATTGTTTTCCTGTTAATTGTATAGAGATGCTAACATTCATTTTGATTTATTTGAAAGGAAAATACACACACACACACACATACACACACAAAGAAAGTGGATAGAGGGAGGGAGGAAGAGAAGGAAAGGAAGGGATGGAAGGATGGAGAGAGAGAGATTGATTCTTTCTTTCATTTGTTGGATCTAGTCAAAGCGACAGAGTACAATCTGCCATGGCCAGAACAGGGCTATTACAAAGGAAGGAGTCAGGTACCACATCTGGGTCCTCAATGTGGGTCACAGGGACTCAACTTCTTGATCTATAACCCACTCTTCCAGAAAAGTTAGCAGGGCTCTGGAATAAAATAGTGTTGGGACTCAATAGCACATCTTTTACCAAGTGTCAGTATTTCAGCTACTGATCTACCTTGAAATTAACCTGTTTGTGGATGACAGTGGCTGATGCCTCAAGTACCTGGACCGTTGTTCATGCAATAAGTTGGAGAGTTTCTAACTGCTGACCTTGGCCTGGCCCAACCCAGATAATGGCAAATATTCAGAGAGTGAACCAAAGAATGGAAGATTTCTCTTAAACTCATTTAAGCCAATAAATAAGCAAAGTTTTTGCAAAATTAAATACATGCGCTGCCATACTTCTCTAACATAAAATTAATGTTTTAATTTTCATAATTAATATAAATCCTAAGTGGTATTAACATAATTCTCTGAATTCACATAAATATCCTTTATTTTATTATTGGTTTTTACAGTTTCTTCTGGAAATTTATAATGGGAATTTCTGCATCTCTTACTTTCTGTACATTTTAGTTGAGATTCTTGTGTGAGAAAGTGATATATACTATACTGAAGCAATTGCTCAATGATTTATTTATAAAAGCACACAAACATGAATGCTCATTTTAATGTATATGAATGGTTCAATATCACTGTTAATAATTTCACTTCTCTAATGGTTTCTGCTTTAGCCATTGACACAATGAAAGATTATTATAGATGTTCTTTACAAAAAAGCAAAAAAATTGCTTTGTGGAAAAAAACTAACACAAATGCATATTTTCTAAATAGCACTAGTTATTCTCCTTAAATGTTTATCAGCTTTTCTGAAAAAAAAAAAAAACAAAGTAAGTTACTTAAGTTTGAGTTTGTTTAGACTCTGAGTCAGAACTGCTTCTATATTCTAAATAGGATAATATGTGGTTAAAGCATAAAGCACATTATAATCATGTTTTAAAAAACTTGCAATTTTTATTAAGAATAAAAAGTAGTTTTCTATGTAACATTAAAACTTGCAATATGTGGTATAGTTTGAATCAAATCATTAAAAAGAAGTAACCAGAAAATAAGTATTGCATTATCTCACCTGTGCAGTCTAAAAAAGGTGCTATTGTAGTAATTACAAGGGTAATGGCAGAAAAAATCATGCTCATAACTGTGAAAAACAATCTGAATGCTTCCCAGGCCCTCTGTTCTGAATTAGGTGACTGCCAAGTATAACCTTGTCAGGTGTGCTTACCAAAAAAAAAATTATATTAAATTAAAATCTAAATTAAAAATGTACCACTAGTTTCGAGATTTGGGAAGACCAGAGATAGAAACCACAAAAACTGAATAATACGTAGTAAATCAGACATAGACAGAAAGTTCTGGAGGTCTACCATTCCATAGTTTGACTACAGGTAGAATAAATACAGAGTTTGCATCTTATTTTCCTTTATAAATAAGCAAAAAGATGCAATACATTTCTAGAAATAGAAAACTTTCCAAATTTTAGTCATAAATAAATGCTAATTGGGGCTGGGGTGGTAGCTTAGTTGCTAAAGTCCTTGCCTTGCACTCCCAGGATCCCATATGGGTGTTGGTTCATTTCCTAGCTGCTCCATTTCCCATCCATATATCTGCTTGTGGCCTGGGAAAGCAGTTGATGATGGCCCAAAGCCTTAGGACCCTGTATCCATGTGGGAGACCAGGAGGAGGCTCCTGGCACCTGGCTTTGAATCAGCTCACCTCTGGCCATTGCAATCTCTTGTGGAGTGAACCAGCAGATGGAAGATCTTCCTCTCTGTCTCTTTTTTTTTTTTCTGTAATTATGACTTTCCAA